AACAACATCAGAAGATTTGCTTGGTAACATAAAATTGATTGACACTGTGGATACAGCAGCTTCAGCATGTGAAAAGTTGTTGGAAAATATGCCTTCATATATACGTGTAAACTGTTGTACAAATAGTTTGTGTTTTGAACCGGAATATACAAACGAGAGAATTGTAATTTGTTTAAATGCCATTGATGGAAATATTAATTTACCTGAAGAAATAAACAAATTTTTTTTTCCCTTAACTATTGATTGTGTTGCAATCAATTGTAATTGTGACAGATTAGTAAAATTCAAACTAATGAAACATATTTATGTGGAACTAGTATCAATACCTAAAGGTAATAATATAAATATTAATTACATATTAATTAATATTAGTAAATTAAAAGTGGTAATAAGGTATTTAATTCACAGAAAAAATATATTATTTATAGATTTTGAACGATCAGTTGACTATGCTGGGTTGGTTATCTGGAAACTTGATGACGTTCCAAAACTATTAAAAATCCAAGGTATAACATTTTATTTACGTGGCATAGTGGCTTTTAATGATTCAAACAAATTCAACCTAAGAAATCCGGTTGGTCATTACATTGCATACTGCTACAGATCAAATAGGACATGGGAGTGTTATGAATTATGATGATACCAAAGAGAAAATGAAAATATGTAAACCAAACACCATGGTAAACATAGAACTTTTATTTTATACATTGTAAACTAATTAATGTTTAAGTTCAATATGTTGTATTTCTTTATTTCTAAGTATAATATTTCATAATATTGTACAAATGATGTTGGCACTTTAACAGTAACGTAAAATATTGTAATATAATATATAATATATATAAAATAGTGTTAAAAATGTATTTTAAAATTTAAATCATCCATTGAGGAAAACTGGCTCGATTTGGCTCATTCTTTTTTTTGTTGTGTTTGTAATTGTCAGGACATGGTTCTTATGAAAGACAATTTTAGGAAAATCCACCGGAAAAACAGGAAACGTCAAATATACAACAGTGGCGTCATTTGTCCAAAAGAAAATAAACTAAATAATAAAAATATTAAAAGTGGCATTCGGGGACTGCCGCGATAAAGCTATTGCATATTAAATAAATAAGAAGTTGATATAATTTTAAATTTTTTTATTATTCTATTTATTCAGGAATATGTATCATAGAAACTATAGTTTATGTTTTTATTGCTATAATATATTATATACTAGCTGATCCCGTGCACCTCGTCGCCCATTAAAAATACCTACTCCATATGTATTTTACGGATTATATTAATCTCAAAACGTTAATTAACATAATCAAAAAGGGATTACCCATCATTTGTGTCCAGGTTCACGCTTGCCAACTACAGAAGGGCATTCTGATATACAATATTTCTCGTTTTACCATCTGGGGCGTACACATACAAATCTTCCGGTCTCCCGACGCGGGAGCAGGCAACATACAGCTGTCCATGGGAGAAGCATGGATTTTCCAAATTTAGGCCACACACTTGTAGTGATTGGCCCTGTGCCTTGTTGATGGTCATGGCAAAAGCGATTCGCACCGGAAACTGCAAACGTTTGAACGTGAAGGGCAAATCCGTAGGAATCATTGGGATTCGGGGCAACATTACATATTCGCCCATAAACTTTCCGTTTAAAATTGTAGCCTCGATAATGTTGTTCATCAATTTCGTTACCGAAAGCCTGGTACCATTACAGAGTCGTGGAGGATTGATGTTTCGTAGAAGAATGACGGGAACGCCAATTTTCAACGATAGAACGTGCGGTGGCATGCCTGGCAAATCAAGCGAATTTAAGAATTCAGGTGGATAATTGACCTGACTCGTTACAGTGTCTATGGACTTGTAAGTTTTCAATTCGCCTGGTACCTTGTTTTGAATTCTGAAATTGATAGCATTCACATCGATGTTTTTGGCTGCCAATATGGCCCGGGCACCGAGCCACTGAAGATTTTTGTAATTTTGTGGCAGATTCGGGAAGACCTTTGCAATTAACTCATCTGCGGTAGCCGTGATCTTACAGAAATCGGCCGGCAATGTGATGCATTGTGTTGATTGATCGACGGTCTTTAAGCCATTACCCATATCTACCAATTGTTTTGCGAACAAATCTGCCGATGCCTCATTCCGTAGTTGTACCCGCATATTAGTCTTCAAGCTCAATTTATGCACGTGCAGCCACAAACCTGAAGATTTGAGACATGCATTGAGTTCATCTGCTGGGGTTGAACGTGGTATTACCGGTAGAGTTTGCCGAAAATCACCGGACAGCAAAATGAGTGCACCACCGAATAATAGGCCAGGATTTCCTCTTAAATCTCTTAGGGTGCGATCAAGGGCTTCTAATGATTTTTTGTGCGCCATTGTACATTCGTCCCACACAATGATCGTACATGATCGGAGGATTTTCCCGATTCCTGAATTTTTAGTGATATTGCACGTTGGTCTCTCCGTGAATTGTACGTTCAACGGTAATTTCAGTGTTGAATGCGCGGTTCGCCCACCCTCCAGAAGAGTTGCTGCAATTCCTGAAGATGCCATAGCCAGTGCAGTATCGTTTTGGGAGCGTATCGCTGCCAAAATTATTGAGATTAGGAAAGTCTTGCCCGTGCCCCCGGGCGCATCCAGGAAATACAATCCTCCGCTTTTACTTTTGATTGCCTGCATAATTCTGTTGTACGCAATACGTTGTTCAGTAACCAACTTTGGGAGATTCTTTTGAACAAATCTACCCATTTCGGCGTCGTCAAACTGTGGCTCACGTTGCAAATCTCGATTAAAACGGCCGTTGATGGATCGATTCGGCGAAGGCAGTCCAAGTTGAACCAGAGCTTTGTTAACGATTTCCAAACACATGTCCTCAATCTCAATTAATGCCTCATTATACACAATGGGGGAAAATCGAATGTCCGGAACTTGATTCGTAGTACGCAATCGATGTAAAATGTCTTCGCTCATGTAGTCTCTGTATTTTTCCCAAAGGTCTTTTGGATTTGATGGGAAGCACGTTGTTAAGATTATCGCAAATAGAGAGCGTATTTGCCGTGGTCGAGCAATATTCGATGCATCAGCGAGTGAAATATCCCAATGGGCATCGTTTTCAAGAAGATGTAACTCTTGGCAAGCTGCATGATACGTGGCACAAACCCGCCCGTCCACCGTTCTCAATTCTTCGAAGGATGTCGGCCCACGTACATTGATTAACAGTAATCGCAAGTAAAAGCATTCCAAATTGTTTGGATGAACTGTGTATAAACGGCCTAACGCATCGGTCATATATAAACAACCTGAGTGCCCCTCCACTGCCTTGCCCTGTATGCGACGTTGAAACTTTTTCACGGAAGTATTCCATCCGTAATAAGTCGGCACCTCAGAATAAAGTAGCGTCTTTGCAAACGTATCTTGGTTGCACAATGAAAAAAATGCAGTTAACGTGGTCGGAGGTGGGGACATTGCTCTTGCACGTATATTGCCGGCCGTGAAGTACACACGCTGGCCATTTTCAAGATGCACTGCCAAATGAACCACAGTTGGATGTCGATCATGGATTTGAAATGATAATATGCGCCAAATTGCCTCATTACTACTAATGTAGCGGCCGAGTTGATATTGATTTATTTCATCGATAGTTCTAGTTCTATTTTCCACACCAAACACTGCCATATCGCCCCCTTTGTTGACATATTTGCAAATGTATTTGATGGATTTCACAGAATTGCAATACTCAACATTGATGTGTGCCTTGAACGTCTTTGAGAGTAATGGTGAATACGGTAGAACCCAACGATTATCAACTTCGACGTCAATATTACGTACTTTTAGAGTGATAGATTTGCCGCCATCCGTGGTTGATCGTCGACGATAGAGTGGATACGCGTCATTCCCGGTGATGGTCTCACTAACCAAAGCTCTCGGGTATCGCCTGGTGCATTTCCCATCAGACATGCATGGTGAGGTAGGGTTGAGTGCCCCACATGGACCATGAATCATGTTTTTTGTGACGACCTCTAATAAAACTGGGTCTCCGTCGCCATCGGGTAATTCTGCAGAAATAAGCTGATCAATTATATCTGGTGTTAATTTTGTGATCATCCAGATTAAAATGTGTGCATGGGGCAATCCCCGTTTTTGCCATTCGATGGAATACGACGGTAACTATTTAAAAACTAAAAGGTCCATAAGTTTCAAAATATTATATAATTGATATGAAATCTTGGTAACCTTAGTAACCATGGCAACCTTGGTAACCATGGTAACATGGACACACAGACACACAGACACACTGACACACTGACATACATTCATTTTTATATATATAGATTTATATATATAAATTTATTGCTATAGCAACCCATAACAAAACCATTATATTTATAAGCGCTTTATGTTCATAGTCGTTGTTATTTAAAAATAAAGTATGTATTATATTGTTGAAAGTATTGCAGGAGAATGTAATGCAATGGCCATATATTTTACAAGGTGTCTTATTTGCACATAGAACGGCACAGCATTCTTCCACTGGATACACGCCATTTAAAATGTTATATCAACGTGATGCTACGCTACCTATTGATATTAATTATGACGATAAAGACACAAATTCTGTAACAACCAATAGTAATCAGTATGACTCAGATCATCAAGATAATGATTTAGATTTATTTGATCAAGAAACATTTAAAACTACACTAAATCAAATGATCGCCATGAGGAATATAATGGAAGAAAAAGCGAAAAAAAATATAGATGAAGCACAAACACGTCAACGTTATTCTTATTCTAAACGTCATAATACGGGTCACATATTTCAAGAAGGTGATAAAGTTTTCGTCAGAAACTTGTGTAGGGATGATCGGAAAGGTGGTTGGCGTCAGATACCGTGGAATGGTCCATATGAAATAGTATCTATTCACTCTGGCAATACATGTGTACTCAAAAATGAGTTCAAAGTCTTGAAAAAAAAAATTCATTTGAAAAATTTAAAAATGTACAATGAACCGATGGAAAATAAAACGGAAGAAAAATATGATGCAAACAAGTCTGGAAACAAAAGTAGCGGCACTGACAGTTTTAAAGATGTCGATAATTTGCAAGACGTGAAGGATAATATTGAATATACCAAATCAAAACTGGATGAGTTGAAGGATAAACAAGTATTTAATCCCGTGACGAAGCCATGGCAGTTGAGACAGAACAAGATTTTAAATCTTAAAATAGAAAAGAGTTTGATTTATAAATACCGTGGAAAAATTCTTGGAGAGCCAACAAAAATTGTAAATATTATTGGTGATGGTAATTGTCTCTATAGGTCTTTATCTTACTGGATAACCGGGACAGAAGATCATCATTTGAAAATACGAAACTCAATTGCTGAGGTAATATAAAATAATAAATATTATACATCTATGCCATATGTTTAATACAACTGATACATATTATTTCATAATTCATTCTATAATATACCTATCCATTTCCCCACTTTTTTTTTTTTTTGAACAAAAAATAATTATTTAAACGATTAAGTTAAAATTAACTATGTGGTAAAAAAGTAAAAATTGATTTTTAATGAGTGTATGAAAACATAATAAGACTATAGAGTTTTTAAAAATAAAATCTTGGTATAGGTATAACAAAAAAATTTTTTTTCAAATTTTAGAGTATGTAAAATAAAAATAATGGTACCTACTACCTAGCTACTTATAAAACTAAAATAAATTATTTAAGGAAATAAAGGGCTCTAAGAACATAATTGACTCGTGTATAGTTAAGAAGAGTAAAATTAAAAATTATTTTTTGTTTTAATCAAAATAAATCCGAAGAATAGATTTCAACATAATTTTAAAAATAAAAACATTTTTCTTGAATACAATACATTTACAAAATATGAGTTATTTTTACTTTATTAGATATTTAGATATTAGATGTATATTATTTTAGGTAGTGAAGTCAAATGAAAACATTGAAAAGTATGTTGGAGGGAAGAATAAACTTCTTCAATATCTCGAAAAAAATATAGAAAATGACGGTAAGTATTAAAATTATTTATTATAAAAATTATATATTTACTAAACCTACACAACCGTAAAATTATAATTAACATTTCTGATTTTTAGGTGTATGGGGAACTGATGTCGAAATATTTGCTGCTGCTTTTTTACTAAAGACATCAATTTATGTTTATTCTACAGTGACAAATAAGTGGCAAATATTTAACAAATATATGGACTTAAAGAAAAAAGTCATGACGAATGAAAAGTGCATTTATTTAAGAAACATCAACAATGTACACTATGATGTCGTTATGGATGTATAATTATGTTATTTATTAAATATGAATATTACATAGCTTATTTTATTATATTTATATTTTATATTTTAAAACAATTGAGTGGATTTCAGAAGTGTTGGTAAGGTCAGGTGGGGTAAGAGCCTAACGTGGCTGGTGCCTAATCTGTTTATAAAATATACAATCTTTCAATTTTAAAGTTTATTTCATGAAGATCACGAAGTTTAATAGTAATTGAATGTTGTATGATTTTGGTTACACTTTAGCATATTAAACACAGCACTTATCACTATCCAAAAAGCTAATCAGTTATTTACTCGTATTTTTTTAAATCGACGATAATTCAACTAGTTAACCCGCCTAAATTGCTCAAAATAATTTCAAAATAAGGTAAATAAATGTTATTTAATATTTATGACACTATTTAATTTATGAATTATGATAACTGTATGATACAAAAGAGCATTAGCCGCAATTATACACTTTCCCCGTGTAAAGTTCCACACGAGGAATGTGCGACATGATTTATGGGGAAAGTACGACATGCCTTATTTTGTTAAATAGATAAAAAGATTTTATAAACATTGTGTGTGACTAAAATATTTATGAGTTACAAATATTCATCTTTAAATATGTAAATAGTTAATAATTAAACTTTGAATGCGTTAACATTATATATTTATATCAACCAAAACTTAAAATAACTAATACCTATGTATTAACTATACATTAAAAAAACTGATGTCTGTCAAATCTTGATGAAATTAAAATAATTGAATTCTTTCAACGGAATTTCTTTGAAGATTTTTATTAGTTTATGGCACTTGCCCCGGCCAAGGAGTAGCTTGTATTAAACTGTATTAAAAGTACCGGTTTTGCACTTAAGCCGGTAGCATTTTTTTTTTTTTGAATAATTTTTTTTCAACTAAAAAATTATCAAAACACTTTTTTGAATACAAATTGAATTCCTAATACGTTCATTAATGGATGATAAAATGTTCCACGTAAGAATACAGTAAGATGGTATGATACATTAAACTGAAATTTTGAAAAATTGGAAAAGGGTATAATAATCACCTGCTACATAACTTGGTTCTTACATAGAGTGGTTATAAACCTCAGGAGATTAATTTTATACCCCCACGGTTATATAATTGAGGGGATAACAATAATATATTAATAAATATAAATAATTAATAAACCCCCCCATCCCATAATTTTTACCTGTTACTGTAGGCGATTATTACCTCCTCCACAGGTAAAAATGTTGGGGGGTAATAATCGCCTACTACTGTAGGTGATTTTTACCACAGGTGATTATTACCCCCCCCCCCCTCGGTAATAATATTGAAGGGGGGTAATAATCGCCTGCTACTGTAGGCGATTTTTACCTCAGGTGATTAATACCCCCACGGTAATAGTATTGAAGGGGGGTAATAATCGCCTGCTACTGTAGGCGATTATTACCTCAGCGATTATTACCCCCCCGGTAATAATATTGAAGGGGGGTAATAATCGCCTGCTACTGTAGGCGATTTTTACCTCAGGCGATTATTACCCCCCACCCGGTAATAATATAGGGGGGTAATAATCGCCTATTACTGCAGGCGATTATTACCTCAGGCGATTATTACCCCCCCTCCCCCCGGTAATAATATAGGGGGTAATAATTGCCTGTGACACCGGAAACGGTCAAGTTTCTACGAGTCCGGCGCCGCTGACGTCCCCGTGTTTCTAGAACGCAAATCTCCATACCACTCACTCCGTGCCGAGGTCTCCGCCGGTGCCGTCGTACCGAGTCACCATCGCCATCGTACCAAGTCGGTGTAAATTCGAGGCGGAATTGTTCCTCTCGCAGATACGTCTACTAGCCGCCGTGCCGTCGCCGTCTTCCGTCGCTCCGCGTGACCTTAACTGCAGTCGGGCACTCGCCGAGCGTTAATAAGTTAAATAAAGATATTATATAATTGTATATTGTATATGTTTATAGCTACTGAAAGTCTGGACCCAAATCAATAATGTGTGTAATATATTTTTGAACAAAATTTCACAGAAGTTTTATTATAAAGTTTCTGTATTCGTGTTACAAAGCATTTATTAATACGAACCAAACTTACTTAGTTTATTTATTTAAAATTAATGTTACAGTTTTTTATTATTTTTAAACATTTCTGGGATAACACATTATTCAAATTCTAACTATACAGGGTGATTTTTTTATCGAAGAACACTCATTATTTCAAAAAGTATTAATGTTTAAGAAAATATTTTTTTACATAGTTTCAAGTTGTTAAAAAACAATATTTTTATTAAAAAATTATATTTTTAAATATTTTTTATCCTTTTAATTTTTTAAGTTTTTTACTTTTTTGAATGACAACATCTAATTTTAATTTGATATTCAAAAACAGAATATTTTTCTGAGTATTTCGATACATAAAAATTGAATTTAGGGCAATTAGTTTATGAGTTATAAGTATTTAAAGTTTAGATGAGCGGAGTAGAGTGGTACGGGGTTACCCCGCGAAATGTTTGTCCTCTACTCCGCTCATCTAAACTTTAAATACTTATATCTCATAAACTACTTGCCCTAAATTCAATTTTTATGTATTAAAATAATCAGAAAAATATTCTGTTTTTGAATATCAAATTAAAATTAGATGTTGTCATTCAAAAAAGTAAAAAAATTAAAAAATTAAAAGGATAAAAAATATTTAAAAATATAATTTTTTAATAAAAATATTGTTTTTTAACAACTTGAAACTATGTAAAAAAATATTTTCTTAAACATTAATACTTTTTGAAATAATGAGTGTTCTTCGATAAAAAAATCACCCTGTATCTAAATTTATCATTTTACCCAGTTGGTTCAGAGATGTCCATATAATTACATCCACATATATTATGTTCGTTAAAAACGATAAATGACCAACGTAACCCAGTTTGTCTGTGTCCAACATATTTATATTTTTCAGTAAGGGATAATAATTTATGTTTTTCATCCCTACATACCCCAAAACGTTGACCCTATGCTTGTTTAGGTATTTGGGGGTTAAATAACTAGAATAAAAAAACAAATAAACAAATAACTTGTTCGGGTTTTACAGGTTTTTACTGACTTAGCCAGTGTCATAAGAATGTATTACCTCTGCCAAGTGTATTGAATATCCATAAATTGCACGCATTTTTAAGGTAAAATGTGACCGACGTTATAGTATTGATTTCTTTCTGACCAATTTTATTAAACAACGGAAAATATGCTTTTTATCGGTCATTCCCAATATCTCATTATGCATTTATTTCATACTATAGGTAATTCGATAATATAAAATAATTATATTTAATGTTCAAAAGAAAAAAGGGGGGGGGGGGTAGCAATGAATTTAGTATTCAAAAAAACAAAGTAACAAGTGAAAAATTTAACAATTAAAAATATAAAGATGCATGACAATATTTTGCACGTATACTTTCACGAGGCCAAAATGTTAAATATAATATTTTATTGAGGTTTGGTACGACGTATCAAAACAGTTATTGGTTAATATTATTCATCAAATGTTCATCAATCATTATTCTTTTGTAATAAATAAAATCGTACCTACTGTTTAATACAAAATATAAAAACAGCATTTTACAGTATAAAAAAAATAATTTTATTACTGGATAATTTGTAATAATATAACAATCGTATTATTTAAATTATAATAATAATTTGAATACAGTAATAAATTATGTCAAGTATAAAAATAATATCATTTTTAAACACCCTGTTTAAAATTATGAAAAAAAAAACAAAAAACACAAGTGGTGTGAGATAAATGATTATAAATAAATAATTCAATAATATTATAAATGATATGATATACCTATTTGATATATAGTTAATGAGTTTTTACAATAATTTTGAAACATTTTTATGCCGAAAAATAATAATAAGTATAATATTTACAAATGAAAAAAGATGCTCAATGTGGCAGAAAAATAGAAATAATAATTTTGACAAAAGATGCGCAATGTGGGAAAAAACAAGAAATAATAATTTTAATAAACAAAAAAGATGCTCAATGTGGCAAAATAAATTAAAATGAAAAAATGTAAAATAAAACACATCAGTCAAGACGAGGCGAGGTGGGGGGTACGTGATGGCGAGTGGGTTATTATTGGTTATTATTATTATTGGCAGTAAACTGGTCACCTCTACATAGTTCTTGCGGATGGTCCTGCGGGGGGACGTGGGTCGCGGGCGCGTTTGCTCGAGGACGCGAAGACGACCATGGAAGTGGAAGGAACCCGACTACGACGGCTGCGAGAGCAACGACGGTGATTTGACGACGATTGGCTAGTGCGCGATGACGTGCACTGCTTGACGGTGCTGCAGGTGCCGAAGACGACTATGGCGACGGCGAAGACTTCGACCAAAGCTCGTCGGAGCTAGCAACGAAGACTATATATTATTATTATATGGTTCCCTAGCCACCGTATAATATTTATGGTCGTCCGTCACTCGCCCGACGTGTGCTCTGCGGTTTCCGTCTCCACCATCGCGAGTCGTCTTGTGCAGCAGCAGTCATCGTCAGTGGTACCTTCGTCGTACAGCTAGCCAGCTCCGTCGTCGTGTCGTTGTCATCGCTCTCGGACCGAAGCAGTCAGGGCCCGCCACAACTCCAGAGTGTCTCCGCGTGTCCTCGACCTCGAGCGCACGACGTCCTCGATCCTGCGATCCCTACCACCGGTGGCCGCAGAACGTATGTGTTGGTGACTTACCACCGATCGCCCCAAAAGTGTACTCTCACGTACCTATTACCTCGACCCCACATCGCTTCGCCTTGACTGCTAATAAGTAACAATAGTAATAAATTGTAATTATTACAAAAAAGATATAGAAAAAAAAACTACGACGGACAGGAGACACAATAAACCAGGAGGGGGGGATACGAGATGGCGATTCGGTGCTGATTTGCAAAGTGTGCTCTTTCTCGTATCCACTCCCCTCCTTTTCGTCGCCGTCATCCTGTCCGTCGTCTTCG